TTGGCTTCTGACCATGGTGTATGAAAAGCCCTTGTCTAAAAGTTACTTGCTCTGAGAAAATAATGAAGAAGAGGATAGACACGAAGACACTTTAAAGCCTCCTGAATAGAATGCATCCAGAAGCGAATTCCAGGAGATTCTATCATCATGCTTGCCTTTCAAGCAAACAAACTCAGCTGCTAGAACTGAGAAAGAGTGTAAACACCAACTAAATGCCCCAAAGAATCATGGTAGTAAATTACTTCTCCGTGCTGCTCCATATAAACCTGCTGTGCCACCTGTTGAGGGCAGCACTGATGCTGCATGTTCAGTCTGGTCCCAGGCCCCGGCAGGAATCTGCCATTGTGCCAGCCTTACTGGAAGGATTGGAGAGCAGCTGGTTCTCAGCAATGCAAGTGTCAGGCCAGCCTGGGGCTGCATAATGCTGCTTAAGAGATGACAGTGGTGGACCCCAGCACCTCTCCGAGGGATGTAGAATCTGCTCTTCCCATTTCTGAATGCTACTGAAACAAATCTACAACTAGAAAAATCAAATATTCATGAATTCAAGACTTGGGATCTCAGTACTAAGACTTTAAAGAGGTTGCCAGATGGATCGCTTCTGTGGTGACAGCCCTGGCAGGAGCATTCAAAGTGCTCTGTGAGCTACAAAAGAAACCAGTTGATGGTGTGAACACCACTACAGGGCAACCTGCACACCACAGCAATTTGACAGCTCAGGTTCTGTGTCTCACGTGACGCCAGGCTTGTCCTTGGAAAGAAGGCCTACAAAATTCTTCATATCTCCATTCCTTGGCATCTGCTGGCAAACTCCTACTCGTATTTTAAGACTCAGCCTCTCCTGTGACACCTGTGTCTTCTCTCCAGACAGGGAGGGACCCTTGCCTCTTCAGGGCTCCCCACACTGGAGTATAACTGCTCCTGTGTCTGATGCCTTTAGTCTCTCAGTGCCGGGAGGTATTCATGCTTATGTCCCCATGGCCTGTAACAGAGCCTGCATCAGGATGCTTGGAAAGGACTGTTGAATGAATGTCAAATATGGGTCCCTCTGATGGGTCTATACATGTTGGTCTAGGCTTGAAAGGGTCACAAAGAGTTGTGCATACTTACGATTTCAATCAAATATCACTATTTTTGGTTAAGAGGGAAGAGTAGTGTGAAATTGTCAATGATTAGATACTCCAAATGTTCTTTAAAAACTAATAGCATTGATGTATTAAGAATGCAATCATACATTAGAAGACACATTCTATTTTTAGATTTTTACTTAGTTTAAATTCTTCCTTAATCTGCATATTTACCTTATTGACAGAATTATTTCAGAAGAAATTGATCATTTCATGGAACAAGATTTATTAGACACAAAAGAAAACTGAATCATAACAATTGTACAGGTGGGAAATTGAACAACAAAAATGACCCTGAGATACCCACATTCTACTTTGGCATATAGTGGGAAAAACATTCTAGACTTCAAGTCTAGGCCTGTCTTGGCTAATGTAACTGATGACTTCACAAACCTGTCATGGGACTAGAAGCTGAAAGGAAAATACTGGTGGATAAACACCATGTTGAAATTATGTTGAGTCGCTTATTTGCTATAAAACACAAATTGTTTTGTGTAAAGGGGTTAAGATGGCTGGAAAACTGTCTCCATTCAAGAGCAAGAAAGCAGCATGTGTCTTATCCTGTACCTCCATATTTACTTGTACTTCATCATTTCTGAGGGAGAAATACATGGAAACCAGATGCTTGATTGTTACAATTTCAGAACACGTCCTTAAAGAATATGACTCCAAGTCTAAGAATTGTAGGTCCTTTGCTTCTTAGATAACTACTGTTAGCCTTGATCATAGAGATTCCAGGTTTGATAATAACTTCAGTTCTCCCCCCTGTATATGTAGACGTTAAGTTACACAAATTTGGCATTACTCTCATTTTCAGGTTAATATCAGAACACTTGTTATCAAGTCAGGATAGTAATTGTAAGCCTAGATGCTCTAGGTTTGGCTATACATAGTTCTCTACACCACCTACCCTTCCAATTAACAATTTACCAGTTGCTTCTATCCAAAGTACCAAGACTCTCCCGCAAATGGGGAATACTGGAAACTGGCTTGGCTTCTTGAAGCAACAGTAATCAGTAAGATCTTGGCCGGGCATGGTGGCTCATGCCTGCAATCCCAGCAATTTAGGAGGCCAAGATGAGAAGATTGCTCAAGCCCAGGAGTTCAAGACCAGCCTGGGCAACATTGTGAAACCCCATCTCTACAAAGAAATACAAAAATTAGCTGGGCATGGTCGTGGGTGCCTGTAGTCCCATCTACTCGGGAGCTGAGGTGGGAGATCACCTGAGCCCGGGAGGCAGTTGCAGTGAGCCAAGATTGCACCACTGCACTCCAGCCTGGGTGACAGAGTGAGACTCTGTCTCAAAACAAAACAACAATGTGGCTGGGCGTGGTCACTAATGCTTGTAATCCCAACACTTTGGGAGGCCAAGGAGGCAGATCACTTGAGGTCAGGAGTTCGAGACCAGCCTGGCCAACGTGGTGAAAGCCGTCTTACTAAAAATACAAAAATTAGCCGGGCATGGTGGCACACGCCTGTAATCCCAGCTACTTGGGTAGCTGAGGCAACAAAATTGCTTGAACTGGGAGGCAGAGGTTGCAGTGAGCTGAGATCATGCCTCTGCACTTCCAGCCTGGGCTACAGAGCAAGAACTCTGTCTCAAAAAAAAAAACAAACAAGAATCTTACTACTGCTTCTTCGGAGATACTTTTGGTATTATTTTGACAAGTGAATTTTGAGGATTCAAATATAAGAAAGGGATTATTCTTGGTAGAGGTAACAAAATTGTACCAAATGACCTTTTGTGTTAAACACGATTCAGTCATCCAACCCCAGAAAGGAGCCTGAATGAAGTCTAATTTGGGTGACAAATTCCCACCCAAATTAGATGTATGTCGTTCAGGTATAGAGAACTGATTTTATATTAGAAAAAACAAACCTTGTGAACAGTTTTTTAAATAACTATTTCATGATTTTCTGTAAGTAGTACTGATCTCTTACATACAGATCTTTTGTGTCTTTCTCCTCAAGTTAGTATACAACAGGGCAAGTGGCAAAGCTCGAGGAAAGCGTGACCTGAGGTTCATGCTGTCAGCTCAATGATGCTGGAGTTTGGCCTGTCAAATCTCTAACCTGTCAAATGAAGTTAATTAGGATTAATTTTTTTTAATGTATGTTTACTACTGAAAATAAGTGCTCAGCCAGGCACGGTGGCTCACGCCTGTAATCCCAGCACTTTGGGAGGCCGAGGCTGGCAGATCACCTGAAGTCAGGAGTTTGAGACCAGACTGGCCAACATGGCAAATCACCATCTCTACTAAAAATACAAAAATTAGCTGGGTGTGGTGGCACTTGCCTGTAATCCCAGCTACTCGGAGCCTGAGGCAGGAGAATCGCTTGAACCCAGGAGGCGGAGGTTTCGTTGAGCTGAGATTGCGCCATTGCACTCCAGCCCGGATGACAGACACTCGTATCTCAAAAAAAAAAAAAAAAAAAGGAATAGAAGTGCCCAGTAGCTTCAGTGGATGCCACACAATTCTGGAGTAATTTTTACAATCAGGATTTTCATTGTCCAAGCCCCTTAGAAAAAGAAGCAACCCAGCCCCTTACCCAGAAAGTCAGGCTGTATACTGCTGTTCCTTAGTGAGGTCAGCTCTCAGTAGAAACATCTCCTGTTTGGATTCGTGCTTAGTTGACCTATTGTGTTCAGTTCCTCTAACATGAGTAACTTCTAATGGGTAGGAAATTTTAAAGCTCAAAGGGTGCATTGAGAATTAACATTACTGATTTTCCACTGTTACTTTTTAGTGTTTTCATAACTTGGATGTGTTAACCTATGGCCCATCACCTATGCTCCTAATCTCAGGTGACAACATGTTCAATTTAAGATGGTAGGCAGTACAGTGGACCTCTCATCCCATGGGAAAGAACCCAGGATGTTTATTATGTAGTATTGTATAGTCTCTGCAGCAGTAGCAGAGAAAGTTATAAAATCTAGAGTTTCTAATATAATCCTTCTCACTTTTCTTTCTAAAAAAAAAATAATAATAAGAGACAGGGTCTCACCATGTTGCCCAGGCTGGTCTCTATCGAACTCCTGGGACCAAGCGGTCCTCGCCTCAGCCTCCCAAAGTACTGGGATTATAGGCATGAGCCACTGTGCCTGGCCAAGTTCACTCTTCTTAAAGGTCTGCTAATAAGAGGGTTTCCACTTTTTGAAACAAATTCATGATTACCTAAAATGAAGCTAGGTTATGAAGTATATATAAATATGCAGCCCAATAGGCTGGGTGCGGTGGCTCACACCTGTAATCTCAGCACTTTGGGAGGTTGAGGCGGCAGATCACTTGAGGTCAGGAGTTTCAGACCAGCCTGGCCAACACGGTGACACCACATCTCTACAAAAAATACAAAAATTAGCTGGGTGTGGTGGCCTGTATGCACCCATAGTACCAGCTACTTGGGAGGCAGAGGCAGGAGAATCACTTGAAGCCAGGAGGCAGAGGTTTCAGTGAGCTGAAATTATGTCACTGCACTTCAGCCTGGGCAGTGGAGTGAGACTGTCTCAAAATATATACACATATTTGCAGCCCAATAAAGACACTTAGATAAAACTATTGGGTTTATTCCTTGAAAACTAGGGCATGTGTAACTAGATCTGGCTTATAAAAAGCAAAGTTATTTACATATGTTTTAAGGTAAAATTGCTTCTGATAAATGTCAAAGAGGAAGTTTAGGTCTTTCTCCTGGCAGAAAGCCAGAGAGTAAGTGCTGAATGTGACTCAGAATGATGTTAGGTAACAAGGACTTTGAGGTAAGTGGCTGAAGTCCTCTGTGAAATCAGCCAACTCTTGCAGGATTGTGTGGTATCAGTCACCTGCAAACACTTCGGCATTTGTCAGCCCAACTCTGATCATTCTTCTTCTTTCAAGGTATCTCAGCGTTTGAGTCAGCCAGGAGTAGCAATAGGTTTGGCTTGGACTCCCTTAGGTGGAGAAATCATGTTCGTGGAGGCGAGTCGAATGGATGGCGAGGGCCAGTTAACTCTGACCGGCCAGCTCGGGGACGTGATGAAGGAGTCCGCCCACCTCGCTATCAGCTGGCTGCGCAGCAACGCAAAGAAGTACCAGCTGACTAACGGTAGGAGCCTGCACCCGGCCGGGCAGGCATGACCCAGGAGGTGACACCATTCCATGGCGGAGACTGGCATGAGCTCGAGACTGCTAGTTACGCCTCTAGCGAAGTACACACTGTTGCTTTTGAACCCCTGTGGAAATTCTAGTTCCCATTTCAGGACTATTTGACTAGTGCCTGAACTAGAAACTAACTCAAAAGGTTTATTTTGTTTTAATCCGACTTAGAGTGGAACTATTCTTCTAGACCCTCACTCAAATTGTACTCTCCACTAATATTTTGAAGAATTCATTTACCCTAAACATTCATTTTTGTTTGTGACTTTTTTTTTTTAGGAGAAAAAGAAAACAGGTTTAATTTTTCTACATTAAAGTCCTTTTTTCCTTTTTAAAGCTTTTGGAAGTTTTGATCTTCTTGACAACACAGACATCCATCTGCACTTCCCAGCTGGAGCTGTCACAAAAGATGGACCATCTGCTGGAGTTACCATAGTAACCTGTCTCGCCTCACTTTTTAGTGGGCGGCTGGTACGTTCAGATGTAGCCATGACTGGAGAAATTACACTGAGAGGTCTTGTTCTTCCAGTAAGTATGAAAAAACCAATTTATATGGTTTTTATTTTTTATTTAATTTTTTTAAATTAATATTATTTTTAAATAGGGGTTTTGCCTTCTATGAAAACCTTGGTTTTAAGTATATATTAAATTTTTATACCTGTAACTAATTCATATTTTAAATTTTTGATCAAATAAAAACTGACAATTTTTCACATTTTCCCTTCTTTTTTTTTTGAAATAGGTTTCATTCTGTTGCCCAGGCTGGAGTGCAGTGGTGTGATTGTAGCTCACTGTAGCCTCCAACTCCTGGGCTCAAGCGATCCTCCTGTCTGTCTCCCAAATAGTTGGGACTATAGGAGCACGCCACCATGCTCAGCTAATTTATTTTATTTTGTGTAGAGACAGGGTCTCTCTGTGTTGTCCAGGCTTGTCTCAAACTCCAGGCCTCATGCAGTTCTCTCATCTCCACCTCCCAAAGTGCTGGGATTACAGGCGTGAGCCCCCGCATTCAGCCCATGTTTTCCATTCTAAGAAGATGTGCTAAGGGAGAAAATATTAGTGTGGTCATCAGAAATACCGGCAGTTCACAGGAAAATTTGAGGCCTTGTTCTACTTGACAGATTGTTAAAGATATAGCACATGTGCAAAATAGGATAGTAGCTTTTTTAAAATTTTAAGCCCATTTCTTAAATTTGAAGTTTCTTTGAGACCTTCTCTCCCCCTGCAGAAAACTTTGCTAGTATAGAATGGAAACTCTAACAAACATTAACCGTATCTAGTGACTACATTTTGAAAAGGTTCTATACATGTGGGGTCTTGAGGCTCCAGATCCTAAACTGCTTATAAAAATATTGTGATAAAATGTACAGAACTTAAGAGTATTTAGATTTTAAGTTATTAGTTGCCAGTATTAGTCTACAACAGACTAGACAACAATTTAGTCTACAACAAGATTTTGGCAGGTTCATAGCAAGATGAGGAAAAAAAAGGAAATAGTCTTTTTTTTTTCCTGTTGAGATGGAGTCTGGCTCTGTTGCCCAGGCTGGAGTACAGTGGCACAATCTTGGCTCACTGCAACCTCTGCCTCCCAAGTTGAAGTGATTCTTCTGCCTCAGTCTCTCAACTAGCTGGGATTACAAGCATGCACCACCACGCCCAGATACTTTTTTCTATTTTTTAGAACCTCTGTAGAACAAATGGGTTTTCTACTTGGTCCCCTCTCAGAGCAAATCGTAGCCCAAGTAAAGGCTTCCACAGCCTCAGGAGAGGACAGCTACAGCGGCCTGGAGTACACCTTCAGCTCCAGACTATTACAAGAGGCAGGACGGAAAGCAGCAGCACTTGAAGGAAAGGCCTGCGAAGGCTGGAGAAAACCTCTTTCGAGAACAGAGGACAAGACGGGGCTTTGAGATTTAAAAGTGGTCAGAGAATTATTCAGGAAAAAACTATAGTGAAAAACAATTTGTTCTAACAACTGTTAGAACTTCAGCATCTAAAAGGAGTTCTAACAGGAAGATGAAATGGAACAAATTATCCAAGAAATAATTGAACATTTCCTAAAAGTTAGGCATCTTCAGATCGAAAGGACCATTACTAACCAGGAAAAACATTTCATCCTCTTGACTTTTCAGATCACTGAGGGTAAAGTGCCCTCAGCACTGACACGGGATGTGCAGTACCTTCAAAATTATGAGGGAAAATGGGCCGGGCGCGGCGAATGATGTCTGTAATCCCAGCACTTTGGGAGGCTAAACAGGAGGATAGCTTAAGTCCAGGAGTTCAAGACCGGCCTGGGAAATACAGTGAGACTTCATCTCTACAAAAAATTGTTTTAAAAATAGTAATGAGGCTGGGTGTGGTGGCTCACGCCTGTAACTCCAACACTTTGGGAGGCCAGGGTGGGCGGATCACTTGAGGTCAGGAGTTTGAGACTAGTCTGGCCAACATAGTGAAACCCTGTCTCTACTAAAAATACAAAAAATTATCCAGATGTGTTGGCACATGCCTGTAATCCCAGCTACTCGGGAGGCTGAGGCAGGAGAATCGCTTGGACCTGGGAGGCAGAAGTTGCAGTGAGCCAAGATCATGCCACTGCACTTTAGCTTGGGTGACAGAGTGAGACTGTCTCAAAAAAAAAAAAAAAAAAAGTAACAAAAGCTGTGAGGGAAAATGTTTTAAATCTAGTCTTATATACATGGCCTTACTATCAATCAAGTGTGAAAGTAAAATATTTTCAAATATGCAAGGCATCAGTTCATCTTACACTCTTTTGAAGAGGGTATTTTGAAGGAGTACTTCAGCAGCATGAAGAAAACCTTGAAAGAAGATGCCAGTGGGGCAGGAAGGCCTGGAGCAGCCAGTCTTAATTGGAACAGATGCTCAGAGGGCTGTCTCCAGGACGTGCATATGCTGGGTGCTGTGACTGAGAGCAGTATTTGTGAGCAATTGCTGCGCAACACATTACCCCAAAGCAAGAATACTTCATACTCTCCATGTTTCTGTGGGCTAGGAATTAAGGAGAGGCTGAGCTGGGTTCCTGTGGCCCAGGGTCTCTGGGCTTACAGTTTAGGTTCCAGCCAGGCCACAGTCACGTGAGGGCTGACAGGCTGGAGAAGTTGCTTCCACGGTGGTTGACTCATGTAACTGGCAAATTGGTCTTGTTTGGTGGCAGGAGGCGCCAGTTCCTCACCTGATGGGCCTGCCCATAGGCTGCTTGAGTGACCTCAGACATGATGACTGGCCACCTCCAGGGCAGGTGATCAAGAGAGATCCAGGCAGCAGCTCTCATTTTGTGTGACTCAGCTGTGGAGCTCATACAGCATCACTCCCACCACACTCTGTTTCTTACCAAGTCACAAAGCCTGGCCCACATTCAAGCCGGGGGACCATTGTAGACATGTTTGAAAGCCACCATAGGAGCCTAGTTTGGGGATATGTTTTACCAGCACGGAAGTCCTGGCTTTAAACCTGTAGAGAGGGAAGTAACTCCAGCACACAGCTAAGCTCTGCAGGAGCGGCGCTCATGCATGGTCAGAATTCTCACGTGCTGCTTTTTCAGATCAACCTAAAGACAAGACAGTTGTGATTACACCTGGAATGCCAGTGTTTACTTTGACAGTATTTATAAAAAGAATCATTGACCAAAGGGGAACTCATACCTATGAACAATTTAAAATCCGCCCCCCCATCAGAGTCTTTAATACAACACCAATTGAAACATTTTAAAAAGGTTACTACTTGCCAACCTTTTTCCTGGCTTTCCTAGCTCATACGGTAACAAAATGGAAGATGATTTGGATGTTTTAAAATAGTAGTAAATTCAGTGAAAGCAAGCTGGGTAGGATTTCTTTCAGCTTGAGGGTGATCATTAACCCTAAAAACGTTTTTCTCTCCTTACAGGTGGGTGGAATTAAAGACAAAGTGCTGGCGGCACACAGAGCGGGACTGAAGCAAGTCATTATTCCTAGGAGAAATGAAAAAGACCTTGAGGGAATCCCAGGCAATGTACGACAGGATTTAAGTTTTGTCACAGCAAGCTGCCTGGATGAGGTTCTTAATGCAGCTTTTGATGGTGGCTTTACTGTCAAGACCAGACCTGGTCTGTTAAATAGCAAACTGTAGGCCCAAATCTCAACTTTTTAGAATTTTAAGTTATGAAGTGCTCAAAGGTACTGACACGGTTGATTTTATTCACACCGTTAGGGGTATGCAAGATGTCCCTGTTTCGTAAACATAATCACAACAGTAATAAACCAAGTAGTGGCTAGTGTTTAGTATAGAAACATAAGATGTTCATTTAGTAAACTGATAAAAATCGAATTCTTGTCTTGTTTTTAGTGGGATCCTTACTGTCCCTGGAAAGATACAGCATAGTGGTTCTCAGCACAGTCTCCAGAACAGAAGCATCTGTAGTACCTGATACCTTGTTAGAAATGTACATTCTCAGGCTCCACAGCAGGCTGCCTGAATCAAATCCTGGGAGGTGGGGGCAGAAATCTGTTTTAAGAAGCCTTCCAGGTAATTCTGCACAGTCAAGGAACCACTGGTATAGACCATTACTTAATGGATTTACCTGTAGAGTTTATTGGATCCTGAAACCAATCATTTAGAACTGGGAAAAGATGAAAGTATAGCCAACTATTCTTGACTAATACATATATTCAAGTGGACTGGGTGTGATGGCTAACACCTGTAATTCCAGCACTGTGGGAGGTCCAGGCAGGCAGATCACTGAGCCCAAGAGTTCAAGACCATCCTGGCCAACGGCGAAAACTCTGTCTCTACAAAAATAAATTATACAGGCGTGGTGGCATGTGCCTGTAATCCCAGCTACTCGGGAAGCTGAGGCACAAGAATTGCCTGAACCCAGGAGGTGGAGATTGCATTGAGCTGGGATCATGCCACTGCACTTCAGCCTGGCTGACGGAGCGAGACTCTGTCTCTAAAAAAGAAAAAACTCAAGTGGACCCTACGAAGAAGCCTACACATCCCAACAGAAGCCCCTTCTTATGCTGAGGGAAGCAGCCCTCAGAACATGATAGCTTGTATCCAGCAGAGTGGCACATGCTGGCACACCTCACAGAAGCACCCTGGCCCTGGATGTCTGCAACCTCAGAAGAGTGCAGCTCCCGGAGGGAGGCAGCCATCCATCTGGGATGGTCCTAAGCATGGAATCGTAACTCCTGATACCGTCTCCTATTTCTTGCTTGGCTACACCAGTTTCCAAATCTGATAGATGTCCATGCCCATGTGCTCCTGCTGGGACTCAATCCAGGCTGTGTATGACTATGAAGTCAGGATCACCTGCTTACTGGCTGTGTGAACTTTTTGTATCTTGGTTTTCCTCATCTATGAATTCCAAGTAATGCTACCTAATTGTTACTGTGAAGATTAAGTTCAAATGCAATGTGAAATAATATTAAGCAATTTCTAGTTATTCTAGCCAGTAATGGACTTCAGAATCTTATATTACACAATATAAGAATATATATGTAAAGACATTTTGGAATTTCCTGGATGAGAAGGAAGTCTGGGCTGGGTATGGTGGCCCACGCCTGTAACCCCAGCACTTTGGGAAATCGAGGCGAGTGGATCACTTAAGCTCAGGAGTTCCGGACCAGCCTGGGCAACATGGCAAAACCCCATTTCTACAAAAAATACAAAAATTAGCTGGGCATGGTGGCACCCGCCTGTAGTCCAGCTACTTGAGGCTGAGGTGGGAGGATCAGGGAGGTCGAGGCTGCAGTTAGCCAAGATCACGCCGCTGTACTCCAGCAGCCTGGGCGACAGAATGAGACCCTGTCTCAAAAAAAAAAAAAAAAAAGATTTGGCCAAAATACTGTGATAAAATAACAGACCTGCTGATAAAGTTTATCTGAATGCATTCTGAGAGGAAAAGTCCAGACCTAGGACTAGTTACGGCAGTTGAAGAGAAAGAACATCAGGACGTTTGAAAATATGCCATTGACTCTTACCAACTACTGTAATTTTATCGTTTCCAATGTCATCTAAAAGGGAACTAGAACAAACTGTGAATTCACTTTCAGCAACCAGAGGGAGCTAATCCACATTCACATCGCTCTGCCCTGTTCCACCCAGCAGGGACAACAAAGGACGTTTTTAGTATCACTTGGGGTTGTCAGTATTCTTCCTTTAGTCCTGACACAGGCAGCCTTGCACTTGTCTGTAGCAGCAGGAGGGCACTTGCTTTAAGCATGTCTTTCGAAAGGCGCCCATTGAGAGAATAATGCATTTTCCCCTTGCTGTATATGACATGGAACATGCTAGCTTTTTTTTTTTTTTCTTCCGGGGTGGGAGGTTAGTTGTTTGACGTCTAAGCTCTTCCTTTTTCACCTGTTTTATTTGGGGGTGGGGGGACGGATAGCCAAAATATAAAATCTACTATTTTAACCATTTTTAAGCATATAATTCAGGGGTATCAGTTACTGGGTGTGTCCACTGTCTACTTTTTTTTTTTTTTTTTTTTTTTTTTTTTTGAGACGGAGTCTCATTCTGTCACCCAGGCTGAAGTGCAGTGGCATGATTTCGGCTCGCTACAACCTCTGCCTCTCCAGTTCAAGCGATTCTCGTGCCTTAGCCTTCCAAGTAGCTGGGACTACAGGTGTGTGCCACCATGCCCAGCTAATTTTCGTATTTTTTAGTAGAGACAGGGTTTCACCATGTTGGCCAGGCTGGTCTCAAACTCCCGACCTCAAGTGATCTGCCCACCTCGGCCTCCCAAAGTGCTGGGATTACAGGTGCGAGCCACCGCACCCGGCTTACGTGCATTTTTTATCACCACAAACTGAAACTCTGTACCTAAAAAGAGTTCCAAATTCCATCCTCACCCCAGACCCTGGTAACCACTACTTCACTTTCTCTCTGAATTTGCCTTCATATGAATGGGATTAAACAAGAGTTGCCCTTTTGTGACTGGCATTCTTACTTAGCAAGCCATCAGCTGCTCGAATAGTCACTGGGGCAACTAATTTTCGCCCAGTGTCCTCCAGAAAAGAAAGATCTGGAGGGTCAGGCTACTGTTTTTCTTCAGAATAATGAGGGGGCAGATGGGTAGGGATGAACCTCTTCCTCCTCTGCCACTTTAGCTCAAAGGAACTCCCATCTTTTTATTATTTGCAAGTTAGCTTTCTGTTTCACATCTCTGCCTTGTAGAACCATGACCTATCAAGGTGTTTTGTCAAAAAATAATACTTTCCCTGGGAAAAAGCCATGTGGTAGCAAATACCAAAACTTTTTATGGCCAAATAATATGCCATTATATCCATAGACCGCATTTGGTTTACCACTCATCTGCTGATTGTTTCCTCCTCTTGGCTGTTATGAATAATGCTGTGAACATGGGTGTACACATCTCTCTCGAAGTCCCTTTGGTCCTTTAGGGATACATATACAGGAGCGGAATTGCTAGATCACATATGCTAAGGTCTGAATGTCTCTCCACCAAATTCGTATGTTGAAGCAACCACCAATGTGTTACTAAGAGGTGAGGCTTTAGGGGGTGATTATGTCATGAGAGCTCCACCCTCATTAATGGATTTAGTGCCTTTATAAAGGGGCTCAAGAGAACCAATTACCTCCTTTTTGCCCTTCGATTCCCTTCCACCATACGATGACACAGCAACAGGCCCCATCCTAGAAGCTGAGACTGGGTCCTCAACAGATACCAGTCTGCCAGCACGTTGATCGTGGACTTCTCAGTCTTCAGAACTATGAGAAATAAATTTGTTCTTTTAAATTACCCAGTCTCAGGTATTCTGTTATGGTTAACACAGATGACTAAGACAACAGGATAATTGTTTAACTTTTTGAGAGAACTGCCAAACTTTTCCACTGCAGCTGCACCATTTGACATTCCCGCCAGCAATGCACAAATGTTCCAGTTTCTCCACATCCTTGCCAACACTAATTTTCTGGGTTTTTTATAATAGCCCTCCAAATGGCTGTGACGTATTTTGATTCTATGTCCCTAATGACTAGTGATGTTGAGCATCTTTTTCTAGCATTCATTTTTAAGATGTTACCCAAAGACCCCTGTATCACAATAATTATGCTGGATTTTTTATTGAAAATTATTAACTCTAGGAATTTTAGTTCACTAGACCTAGGGATATGTGTATTTTACCAGTATTCCACATTTTATGCATGGGTTTTTAAAACTTTTCAAGTATTAAAACTAAAGCTTTAGGTGCTTTATCAAGAAATTCTACACTGTCCACTGGAGGCATCCATGTTTTTACTCGGCTCTGCCCCTTTAGTGGTCCCTCTGAACCTTACCTCAAACCTTGTGTCAGAGGTAGATCCCTACTTGCTTGGTGGTTACAAATGCAAATACAGTGAAGAATGTCATCTTTGTGATTGTTCCTAAAATAGTTCACGTCAGTTGAGAAATCCGTGACCGTAGTTAAAGTAATGTGATAGTGAAGTCTACCACCGTGAGCTTCCAGTACTAGGTGATTTGTCTGGATTTACAGTGACCACAATCAACTATGTGGTCAGGTAATTCACTGCTGAGGGCTTTGGATTTTCCTTTATGAACTACTGAAATGAGGTCAACTTGACTATTACTGAGGGACATTTTGCTACAAAGAATGTTAGTTTTGCCAATTCCCTTTCCAAATCTAGAATTTATTTTAACCAGGATTTTAGATGTTAAACATCAAGTAGTTTTGGTTGTTTCAAAGAAGTAACATGTTTAAGCTCACATTATTTGAAGTACTTCAGTTCCTATCCCCATGAAAATTGTATCCAGCAGCTTAAAACAGACTAGTTAGTCATTATCCAATTTGATGATTTATAGTGCAACATTAATGCTCATTTTTTGTTTTACTAACATTTGGTGGATCCCACAATGAAAATTGCACTTAAAAAAAAAAAAAACAAAAAACGCTGAAAGAGGAAGGAAGTATCAAAAGAGTCTGAATAGACAACAGGCAAATCTGGTGAGCGGTCATTGAGATGTTTTAAATGTTACCAACAAAAGGACTTCTAAAAGAATTTTAGGAAAAGCTTTATTTGCCATAAAAATTCATTTCTTTGGAACATACTATAGTTTGTACTTAATGAACTAAAGAATAGTTACTCAATGTGTTTAACATTTTGGGATCTAATAAAATCTTTTGTATTAAGTTCAACTGTAACATTGTCAGCACATTTCTAGGCAATACAAACTCTTGAGGCTAAATTCTCATCCTGACATGACAGTGCAAGCCTGTCAAAATGTGACCCCAAAACCAGGTGTCCTTTCACTCCATTATATCTGTAAACCTGTTATGCTTTTCAGAATTTAGAAAGGCCTAAGAAAAGTACTTCTATGATAATAAAGTATATTTTCTTTGTCAAATTTCTAGAGCTATGTAAGGATAGCCAAAATATTTGGTTCAGCAAGACATTGGGGTATCGTGCCAGGCATAATAAGCACTTTATAGCACATCTAGCCTTCCTCATTCCCTTACGCAGTGGACACCATACCTGTTTATGGAGGAGGGACCAGGCAGAGATGGTATTTAAATAAAAACCAGTAGATATAGGGTCAGAAGTCAACCCAGGCAGTTAGAATCTACAGCCTATACTGTTTGCCACCAAATCTTAGTAGACGCTTGATAAGGAATTTTGTTTGGATGGTGCCATTTTTAGATAAATGTACATTTCTTTTGGTAAATTCAGGTTAGGATCATAAGCAGTAAAATACCAAATAATCCTTTGTGTTTTGAACATGCACACTGGATGAGTGGGGAGGGGAATGATCAAGCTTCAAAATCCGAGTCTCTGTAACAATCTATCTGTACCTTTCATGTTTAATCTATACAAATGACCACAGTCCTGCATGGTAGTTCATATGCACTATTCACCCTGTCGAATTCCGACATTACTTTTATGTCCATTCTAATGCAGCAGTCACAGACTGACCCCCCAGGTATGCTGAATTTGATCCACTGTTTTCTTAATTTGGATTACTTACCAATTCTTCCAATCAGGAGTGTGAAATAGAATTCTACCATTAGTAGAAACACTGCAGATGTTCCTGAATATGAAGAGCTTTTGGGGGTTGGAGGCGGCACATTATTATTTTCGTGAGCTAAGCTATCTACAGCCACTTATGTAAGTTTGAAGTTTGCAGAAATGTGGGTCTTAAAATCATACATATTATAATAAAAAATTGCTCACAAAGGAAAAACTGTTCCCCAACAATGAACATACCAAACTGGCCCATGATTAAATAGGACAATTTCAAGTTTAAGGGTGTAAAAGCAACAGAACAAAGTTAATGAGTATCTCCCATACCTACCCCATATACAGCCTGAGAGAAGACATCAAAAGAAATGGAAGAAGTCTTCATTATAACAAGCAACTTCAGGACAAGAGTTATGCCTCATAAATCAAATGTGTAATGGACCACGAAATATGGCTATAGATTTTACCTCTATAGACTAAGAATATGAAGACCTAAATGCAAATTGTTAATACTAAAATGTCAAGCTTATTAACTGTCAAACACAAAATGTACTACCTTAATTTGCTTAAATTAGCAAACCATGAGGTGAAAATGAAAATGGAAAACTTCACACTGCTACTGGTGTCCTCTGGAACCTCTCCAGAAAGCAATGATGAAGTATGTAAAAAATAATCTCAGCCGGGCGCGGTGGCTCAAGCCTGTAATCCCAGCACTTTGGGAGGCCGAGACGGGCGGATCACGAGGTCAGGAGATCGAGACCATCCTGGCTAACACGGTGAAACCCCGTCTCTACTAAAAAATACAAAAAACTAGCCGGGCGAGGTGGCGGGCGCCTGTAGTCCCAGCCTCCGGGAGGCTGAGGCCGGAGAATGGCGTGAACCCAGGAGGCGGAGCTTGCAGTGAGCTGAGATCCGGCCACGGCACTCCAACCTGGGCGGCAGAGCGAGACTCCGCCTCAAAAAAAAAAAAAAAAAAAAAAAAATCCCAAGACTATACACAGAAAACATACAGATATGTTCATGGTTTATTTATAAATAACCAACAATAAATTACCAAGTAAATATCCAACAAGAACCTAAAATTACAGTGAATCCTCATAAACAAAAATTGTTCTTCCAAGATTATTAAAGTGGTGAAACACTCAGATGAGCATGTTGTGTGATGAAAGGGCTACACAGTAATACATAAAAGGGCTCCCAGTACCTTTGAAAATAAACATGTGGCTGGAGTCAGAGGCTCATGCCTGTAATTCCAGCACTCTAAGAGGCCAAGGCAGGAGAATCACTTGAGCCCAAGGGGTTTGAGACCAGCCTGGGCAACATAGCGAGACCCCATCGCTACAAAAAAATTTAATTAGCCAAGCATGGTGCTATACACCTGTACTCTCAGCTCTCAAGAGGCTGAGGTGGGAAGATCACTTGAGCCCAGGAGTTTGAGGCTGCAGTGAGCTGACTGCACCATTATACTCCAGCCTGGGTGACAGAGGATGAGCACATGCACATACACATAAAAAACTGGAAAAACAACCTCTGAGTGAATAGCAAGACTATAGATCTCAATTGTATGTGCAGTTTTATAATTTCCAAAGTCTACATGACGGACACATACTTTATAATCAACATACTTTAAAATACTAAAACTACAAAATGATATACCTCCACGAATATACCCAGTGTTTTGTTTTTTGAGCCAAGAGTCTCAGTCCGTCACCCAGGTTGGAGTGTAGTGATACGATCTTGGCTCACTGCAGCCTCCGCTTCCTGGATTCAAGGGGTTCTGCCTCGGCCTCCCTAATAGGGTGTGCCATCATGCCTGGCTTTTTCGTACTTTTAGTAGAGACAGGGTTTCACCATGTTGGCCAGGCTGGTCTCGAATTCCTGACCTTGAGTATCTGCCCACTGTGGCCTCTCAAAGTGCTGGGATTACAGGTATGAGCCACAGTGCCCAGCCACTTTTATTCTGAAAGATATTGGGAGCCCTTTTACATATTGTTAAGTAATCCTTTTACCATACAACATTAAATATGGAATAAAAGTCGCTTTTTCCAAGCACATATGCTAATGAACAGACCTGAATATAAATCTGTCGTTGACCTGTTATTCTCTTTCACCATAAAAATGGCTACGCAAGGCCGGGCGCAGTGGCTAACACCTATAATCCCAGCACTTGGGAGGCAGGCAGATCACAAGGTCAGGAGATCCAGAACATCTTGGCCAACATGGTGAAACCGTCTCTACTAAAAATACAAAAATTGACCGGGCATGGTGGCACGCACCTATAGTCCCAGCTACTCTGGAGGCTGAGGAAGGAGAACCACTTACCCGGGAGGCCGAGGTTGCAGTGAGCCAAGATCACACCACTGCACTCCAGCCTGGGCGACGAGTGAAACTCCGTCTCAAAAAAAAAAAAGAACAAAGGCTCCACAAGCACATTATAACCAGTTCAAAAGATAATATTGACATAAGGATGAGACTACACAATCATCTTTTCTGAAAATGGATAATAGAAATAAACTCTTATCCAAAATTATCCAGAATCAGTGGTGGGATAAGGGTGAAGTCCAAATTTTCATTAACTTTCTAGGCTTACAGTACCAATACAAACCACACAAAATTATCTTTCACTATTCAGAAGGCAATTTCAGAATCTTGCCATGTGCCTCAAAGTAATTAGCAACAGTTAACTACATGGTACTAAAGGCATAATGGTAGCTAACATTCACTGGATGCTGATATGAACAAAGCACTGTTTCAGGTAACATACCTGTACCCCATTAAAACTTTTTAAGTATCTACCATAATTTAACCCCACTTTACACATTAGGAAACTGGGGCCCAAGGTCACACAGCTGGTTAGTGGGGTAGAGCCGAGACTGGCACTTAGGTGCCTGAAGTCTGGCTGCAGAACCAAGGCTCTTAACCACTAGGCTATGAAATAGTAAATTTATTATTTCATTGTGCTTTTTTAAAGAGGTGAAAAGTGGTCAGCATTTTAGTCATTCTCCTGACAGTTGTAAGAATCAAAATGTGGGCAAGAGGGGCAGAGCATGGAAAAGACTGTAATCCAGAAGCCATATACCCAGTTATTTGCTGTGATTTAGAGTATAACTCTACCACACTTAAAAATGACAACACACAGCTTTCTGCTATATAATTAAAGTACGGAATGAAACAGGAAAATAACTTTGGATTTTATCAAACTTAGAGCTAAAGCAGACACAGTAAGATTTTTTTTAATTTGCCAGAAATTCTTTTAATGAGAATTATAAAAGACCAAAAACATTTTTTTGCAAACTGCCTTTTTAAACAAATGATTTGCTTTTAATTACAAATACTGTGCATGACGATGCCTTCTTTTGCAAAACCAATAAATACAAGAACAAATTTTAAACATGTGATTTATCCAAGATATTTGAAAAAGGAAACAAAAGCCTGATTTGCAGTACTTATAAAAATCAATTTATTCTCTAACCTTTCAAAGATTAAGCTCAAAGGTGTGACTCATCCGTAGAGGAGAGAAAGAGAGAGACCATCTTACAGATGCTTTAAATAGCTTTTGATCATTTTTCCGATGTCACCTTTACTTTCTGGAACTCATAGCTTCACAAAGTAGCTGATTTTAAAATATTTCTAATGAACTGATTAATGGGGGAAAAGAAAATATTGAACACATGTTATAAACTTTTACCATAACAAGTATGCATATCAAAAGACACTAACTTTAAAATGGTACAAAAAAAGTGAAGAAAAACCTGAATTACAGAAAGGAAAGTCAAATTTATTTAATGAAAAACTAAAATTAATAAAAATTAGCAAATACACACACAAAAAAGCACACAGCAGCACTATGTATTGACTCACAAAGGGGAAAAGCAGTGGCCCATGACCACTCAAGATGGCTTGTCAGTTAAAGGAAAAAAACCCAAACACGCACACACCCACGCACGCACACACTCCCACACAAAAACAAAACAAAACAAAAAAACTATTTTTCAACAATACAATCAATCTACAACAAACACAAAACTCAGAATTATTTTACAATGCTTCCTTTCTTAATACAAAAGATGCCCATCTTGGGTGTATATACATATATTTTTTCAGTGGTTTACTGTTGACTTATTTTTAAATATATTAGTGTTACTACATGCAACTGTTTCCTGTATTTAACAGCCTTTCCTTTCATTTACCTTCATGTGTCTAGCTTCCACCTACCAAAAGAATTTTAGGTTGGCAGGCAGATGGGTGCCTTATTTTCTGTGAAACTGAAGTTTTAAACACTGGCCAGAAAATGTTTGATTGCCATTTCAACACATGGAAATAGTTACATTGATGCCTAAATTGCCATTTTCTGCAAAAAGCTGTGCAATGCTGGTGTCAAAGACTAGGCAGTCGCTATTCATAATGGCTGTTGCAATTCCTTCATGAATAGATCGAGGAGTCGCTTCCCAAGTCAATCGTCGCCTGTGACCATTTAGCTCAAGTCGGTAAGCAAAATTTTCAGCTTGCTTGCGTGTTCCTATCAGCTGTACGATTGCGAAGAACTGCTGGTGACCATCGTATTTTTCCTGTTTCTCCAAGACTAACATGAAGTGAAAGCCAAAACAGGACTGCATCATCACCCAGTCAACAGCACCAGGAAGATTAATGTCTGTAGCAAGGAAAACTATATCCTCTCCCTGTAGGGTTGTAATGGACTTATGCTGATGCATCAGATGGGGCATTACAGCATCCAAAGAGCCTTGCCATTTACAGGAAGCACCAGGGCACGGACAGGAATAAGGCCTAAACTCACAGAGCTCTTCGTGGTCTGCTTTTTCTGTGTGTGGCAGAGTTATTTCACATCCAGAAGAGGCATATTTACAGGGGAAAAGTACTGAATTAGCCACTTTCTCCATAGCCAAGTTGCGAATGGATCCCAAAGGGCCCCGGCAAGTTGGACAACATGTGAGCTTTGGGCGACAGTTGCTACAAACAAGATGGCCACTCTGACATTGAAGAATGGGTGGTAACACATAGTCAAAGCAGACTGGACACTCAAAAAGACTCGCCAAGTCATTGTTGGATGCAGTTGTGCCAGTCAGGGCAGGCACCCTCTGGGATGGTGGACACTTCGAGGTACCGGTAGGTAATGCTGTAGCAGTCTGACGGCTCATTTCTGAAATAAATACATAAGGAGGCAGGAGAAAAATAATTATAACCATGACTTATTTTACAAATAATGTTTACATGCCAGAAGTACTTTTAAAGTTTCATGCAAAATTTACTGAGCAAAAGAGAAAGAAAAATAAATAGAATTTAAAAAGTAACATACTAAAAAATAAAATTACACTGAATGTGCACTTCATTAGGATCTGTACACTGGATAAGCTCTCTTTTCAAAATATTCCGGAAAACATTTGGAACTCCCTTAATCGTCTTTGGATAGACTACATGGAATAATAAATGCTAAAATAGAAGATGGACCATAAACAACTAGAGAAACTATACAAGGAACTGAAGTTTAATCGAATCCGTTTTGCTGGGACTCTCTCCCTGAGACTCCCTTACTCTTATTTCTTTCTAATTTGGAGTCAGCTATTGATAGGTATAGGGAGTTACAGGTGAAGTCCTGGATAAAATCGGCACTCGTATTCACACGGTCTGCATCCGAGGACTTCACCACAGCCATGGATTGAAAATATTCAGAAAAACTTACAAATAATACAAAATTTTTAAAATACAGTCTATAACAACTATTTACGTATTATTTACACTGTATTAAGTAATCCAGAGATAATTTAAATTATACAGGAGAATATGCACATACATATACGACACCATTTTCTATCGGACTTGAGCATCCTCAGGTTTTGGTATGGGGAAGAGGGTCCTAGAACTAATCTTCCGAGGATACCGCGGGACAAGTGTAGTTCCAATGCCAAAGAATCAGAGAACCTTCCATTAACTCTTCTTAATGGTAAGCCATTATCTACTCTAGAGGTGTACTTTGGGAATGAGGGGAGGGGTCACAAGGGGAAAGGTCTGCTGCCATCCCATTATCCATCTTTACCTAATTAAGTCTTCCCCCCAAATTATCATCAGCCAGGTATTAATCTTATTTCTTACTGATTACTGCCCACCTCAAGAGTGAGGGGATGTACTCGCTAGTGAAGGTAGCAAAAATATAAAAATAAACACACAACAAAGGTGAAGGGAGACATAGGAGAAATGCAGGGCCATCTCAAAACTTTTTAGTCTGGTAGAGAAAGTACATCTTTCTGTTCCACTTTCAATCCACAATATGTATCAGACATAATGAACAAAGGAGGAGAGTCAGGAAGAGACAGTGAAAAAGGAAAGAATAAAGATGATAGCACGGCAGAGATAATATACCATACTGGGGGTGGGGGATGAAGTCAACAGGTGAAGAACCCCTTGCAGCCTAGGGTTCTCCAGCGTTGCTGAAACATTCATCAGCAGAGTAATCAACATTATTTAACAGGTAAATGTCATCTGGAAGAAATAATCGACAATGTAACTAGTCAAGCTGAGTCAAACATAAAACAAGCAACTTTTCCCAGGAAGCTACCTGGGCTGGGATATTGCAGGCCACTATTTGTCTTGGGGGTGAAAAAAAGATCAGTCGATGTCCTAAGAGTGCACTCCTAGTAACTCTACTAAGCCATATTCTTTTTTTTTTTTGAGATGGAGTTTTGCTCTTGTTGCCCAGGCTGGAGTACAATGGCGCCTGCTCACTGCAACCTCTGCCTCCCAGGTTCAAGCAATTCTCCTGCCTCAGCCTCAAAAGCAGCTGGGATTACAAGTGCCCACCACCATGCCCGACTAATTTTTGTATTTTTAGTAGAGACGGGGTTTCACCATGGCTGGTCTCAAACTCCTGACCTCGTGATTCCCCGGCCTCGGCGTCCCAAAGTGCTGGGATTACAGGCATTAGCCACTGCGCCCGGCCACTAAGCCATATTACAAAATTAAAGCTTCAAAATTAATGTTTTAATTCAATTATAGTCATTATTCTGTTGCAGGGAACTTTTAAGAAACAATGTTGGTTACCAATGTGACCAAGTAAATGCAACTTGGTTTCTAGATTACCCAAGTGGTTACCAACTGATAGCTTAAATGAGGGCTTAGGGTGAAGGAAAAATAAAGATTAATTCCACATCACTAAAAGGATATTTTAAAGTTCAAGAGGCAACAAAAGTGACAGAATTCCATCATAATGTGTCTCATCATACGGACCCAGAACATGAATCAACTCTCATCTGAAGCCCAGTGTGACCCAGGTGTTCTGTCCCCTGACAAAGGACTATAAAGGAGCTCTCCTGTAATCCAGTTTCCCTCTGAGTAGATTCTTTGTACATATGACATCCATTTTATGTCACTTGTAAAACAGTGGGCTCAGTATTGCCAAAACACCCTGGCTGTATGCTGTATGCCTACTGCATGGTCCAGTTTACTTCAGTAAGCAGCATAACAATTACAAAGTGGTTCCTTGGGCACAAAACAGTCTAGTCAACCAATGCCTTTCAGATTACTAAACCAAACCAAGGAATCACATCCAAGGGCAGTAAACTCAGTTTATATTTAACACAACATAGCTACAGACCAAGAAAAACACTGTTGTTCACAATTTCTTGACCTAGCAATAGTTATACATTTATCATCAACAGTTCAGGCTCACAATACATCTTTACCATTTTCCAAACACTATAGAAAGCACATTTTAACTCCTATTCAAAGTGTGAAAAAGAACTGAAATGTGAACGGTATTTCTTGTGAATGGAGGTATTACAGGACAGCAACTGCTAAAGCCTCTCAAAGCTCCAAGGGTGGAACCCAGCTCCATCTTGAAACAGAAAAGGAATCCCAACCACACAGCCGCCCTGCAGTAGGAACTAAGGACAGCCCTGCAGAAGTCATGACGTAAGCTGAAGTTTGATTTAAACATAAAAAAGCACAGCAACCCAAATGAAACATGACTGAGAACCTCGGAAACGGCTGGATTCTGCTGCAGCCATTCCCTAAGCCAGACAGGTTCCACTGACTAATAGCGTTCAAGCTTCATAGCCTCAGCAACCTATCCTCTTAATGTCAATACCTTTTCTCTTCCTTGTCCTGGCCGCTGGTAAACATGTGAACAAGACTCCCCTCCAGGAGTACAGAGAAGGTGGAGTAGCCTTTCCCGTCATGAGAAGTCAGGCCGCGCATTGCGTTTCCCCCAAGAAGTAAAGGAACAGGCCCCTCCTGGGCACTTTCTGCTCCTAAGCACAGAAGACCCAAATTCGCGTCTGAGGTCAGGATCCAAATATCCATTTACTTCTCAGAAGCACGAGTTACAGAGGTGGAGAAAGGAAGCCTTCCCATCCCCAGGAGGCAACCACACCTCCCTGTGAGCTCAAAATCGGCTGCATCTCCAAAAATGGGAGCCACAGCTGCGCTGTCCTCCAGTGTGCCCTAAGCTTTCGTCTGTCTCCCAAGTTTGTCTTCTCCAGATTCACTCCGTAGGCTACTGCCCAGCTCCGGTGGAGGCCGGGGATGCAGGGGGCGACGCGCTCGCTGCGAAGGAAGTGCGCTCCCTGAGCCAGCTCAGGGGCTACTGCAGAAGCCTGCCTGCTGGAGAGCCATTTGGAGCCTCGGCCGGGGCTGGGCCTGCGTTGGGAACGCCCACTCCAACCCGGGGCGCCAGGGCCAGCTCAGGGCGCGCAGCGCGCAGGGCGGTGCCCGTCTTGCTCGCGCAGGGGTGGGGCTGTGCCCGCAAGCCCCGCCCCGCAGCCCAGGGCGGGGCCCCGCCACCCCGCAGTTGACCCCATCCCACCCCAGCGACATCGAACCTTCCTCAGCATTTCCACCAGTTTAAAATTAGGTAGAACCATGCTGTTTTCGGTAGGTCACAACAGTCGAATATCGGCAGTTTCTCACGGTTTCGATCTAAGAGCTACAGCGTATCTGGGAAATGCGTGCCCACACCGGCGCTACATTCCCGGTTCATCGTGCAAACTCTAGATTTTTAGAGTGAAAACATTCTCCCTAATTCATTCAACAGCTATTTACCGGGCATCAACTACCATATTTACTCAATTCTAGCTCACTTCATTTCTACTCCTATGGGTACTATATTTTAAACTCTCCTTCCCCGCTGTGAAAAGACTTCGCAGGAAAAGTTGTAAGCACACTTCTGCCACATTAAACTCCTACTTAAACCTCCTAAGAGATTATACTCTTCCCACTCTGGGAAAGCCATCTTAAATGGCCTCATTAAACACAGAGTAGCTTGTTTTGTTTTTAAACAAGCATTACCCTTGCCCCAATAAAGTCCTGGGCCTCAGATTTGCATTGCATCAGCTAGTGCGCGCAGAGGTTTAACCTGTCATTACATCATGCTTAGGGCAGCCTCCAAATGCAGCAAGAGCTGGCAGTGAGGAGTGAACCCAATGCAAGGAACTGCAGATTACCCACTTTCAGCAAGAAATTTTAACTCTACCCACTTCCTCACTCTATTAACAGTGTGTCCAATCACCTCAACCTCATTTTACAATACAGGCTACACAAAACAACATTAGGAAAAGAAATATAATTGCAAATAGACACAGTCGTGCCAGAACTATTTTTTTTTTCTTTTTTCTTGAGACGGGGTCTCACTGTTGCCCAGGTCTGAGTGCAGTGGCACAATCTACACTCACTGCAGCCTGGGTCTTCTGGGCTCCAGCAATCCTTCCACCTCAATCTCCCCAGTAGCTAAGACCACAGGCTGGCACCACCACTCTCGCTAATTTTCTTTGTATTTTTTGTACAGACAGGGAGTCCCCATGTTGCCCAGGTTGGTCTCGAACTCCTGGACTGAAGCAATCTGCCTGCTTGGCCTCCCAAAGTACTGAGCCACTGTGCCTGGTCTGTATTTTTATTTTCTAATATTTATTCATTCAACAGGTCTTAAATTTCCCTAGAGAAAAAAATTTCATATATTTTAGAGAAACTTCCACAGAACTATGAGAGAACCAAAATGTATACAACAAAAAGATGACTGATTATTTCTCAAGCAAAAGATATTTCACTGTTTACCAAACTCCAAAAGATCTGTACAGAGCCTTACAGCACACTCTGAAAACCACTCATCTATAGACAGGCCCCTCTACTTAATTAAGTTAGAAAAGTGGAAGC